TTGCTTTCTTCATGACTTATACAAGTTCCTATAACTATGAGATTATGCAACTCCCATTTACCGGAGGAACACTTTGTGTGCTACCAAACGTCACAACGTAACTGGGTGATTATAAAGGAGCTCTACAGGTGTCTCCAAAGGTACATGTTGAGTTGGCGTATTTCAAGATTAGGTTTTGTCACTCCGACTGTCGGAGAGGTATCTCTGGGCCCTCTCGGTAATGCACATCACTATAATCCTTGCAAGCAATGTAGCTAATGAGTTAGTTATGGAATGATGCATTACATAACGAGTAAAGAGACTTGCCGGTAACGAGATTGAACTAGGTATTGAGATACCAACGATCGAATCTTGGGCAAGTAACATACCGATGACAAAGGGAACAACATATGTTGTTATGCGGTTTGACCGATAAAGATCTTCATAGAATATGTAGGAGCCAATATGAGCATCCAGGTTCCGCTATTGGTTATTGACCGAAAACAGTTCTAGGTCATGTATACATAGTTCTTGAACCCGTAGGGTCCGCACGCTTAAGGTTTCGATGACAGTTATATTATGAGTTTATGTGTTTTGATGTACCGAAGTTTTTTCGGAGTCCCGGATGAGATTACGGACATGACGAGGAGTCTCGAAATGGTCGAGACATGAAGATTGATATATTGGAAGCCTATATTTGGATATCGGAAGTGTTCCGGGTGAAATCGGGATTTTACCGGAGTACCGGGAGGTTACCGGAACCCCCCGGGGGCTTAATGGGCCTACATGGGCCCTAGTGGAGAGCAGGAGAGGAGGTAAGGGCTGGGCCGCACACCCCTCCCCTCCTAGTCCGAATAGGACAAGGAGAGGGGGCCGGCGCCCCCGCTTTCCTTCCTCTCTCCCTCCTCCTTCCCCCTTCTCCTATTCCAACTAGGAAAGAAGGGAGTCGGAGTAGGACTCCCCTTGGCGTGCCCCTCCTTGGCCGGACGCCCTCTCCCCCTTGGCTCCTTTATATACGGGGGCAGGGGGGCACCCATAGACACAACAATTGATCTCTTGATCTCTTAGCCGTGTGCGGTGCCCTCCTCCACCATAGTCCTCGATAATATTGTAGTGGTGCTTAGGCGAAGCCCTGCGACAGTAGAACATCAAGATCGTCACCACGCCATCGTGCCGACGGAACTCATCCCCGACATTTTGCTGGATCGGAGTCCGGGGATCATCATCGAGCTGAACATGTGCTAGAACTCGGAGGTGCCGTAGTTTCGGTGCTTGATCGGTTGGGCCGTGAAGACGTACGACTACATCAACTGCGTTGTTCTAACGCTTCTGCTTTCGGTCTACGAGGGTACGTGGACAACACTCTCCCCTTTCGTTGCTATGCATCACCATGATCTTGCGTGTGCGTAGGAATTTTTTTTGAAATTGCTACGTTCCCCAACAATAACCTTATATATCACATTACATAAACTGATGGGCCTATAGTCAGACATCATTTTGGGGTTGGAGATCTTAGGAATAAGAACAATGGACGTGGAGTTTACCCCTTCAGGCATAGTTCCCATCCGAAAAAAAATTGTTGACCACAACAAGAACATCATCTTTGAGTGTACCCCAGTTTCGCTGAAAAAACCGGGCCGGGAAGCCGTCCGGACCCGGGGCCTTTAACGGGCCAATTTGGAAAAGAGAATCCGCTATCCCCTTATCAGAGAAAGATGCAGTTAGTCTAGCATTGTCCTCCTCCATCACCTTAGCATCCAGAAGATCCAAGATTGGTGATGCATCCAGGGAGAGATCAACAGTAAAAATGTCATGGAAGTAGTCATTCGCCACCTTCCCCATCGCTGCATTGTCTGTATGCACCACCCTAATACTATCCGTAAGTTCACGTATTTTATTTTTCCTTGCTCTCCAAATGGCCTTGCTCTGAAAGTACTTTGTATTTCGGTCTCCTTCCTTCAACCATGTAATTCTCGACCGTTGGAGCCACAACATTTCCTCTTGGTATAAAAGTCCGTTCGTCTTATCAGTTATCATTCTAATCTCTGCTTTGTCCGCATTCATATGCATCAGCTCTTCTAGCTGGCTGCGAGACTTTGCAATCTCTCTTCTTATATTCCCGAACTTCTTACCCCATACTCCCAGCGAAAACATAGTTTTTGAGAGAGCATCGCACAACTGTGTCAGATTCTGCACACCCCGAACTGCTGCCCAAGCCTCCTTTATAACCTCAGGCAGCGCTGCATCCCTTTCCCAGAATAGCTCGTACCTCCTGCTTCTTGTCCCTGATGGACCCGGGTCAACCGAACTTTTCACCAAGACGACCACATGATCCAAGCAAGGTGATGGGATATGCGAGACGAATGAAAATGCAAACATGTTCCTCCATTCGTTCATCGCTCCCGCTCTGTCCAGCCTGACCTTGACGTTGCTCGCCCTGCTGCGTTTGTTGTCATAGGTAAACGACACCCCAACAAAGCCGAGGTATACAAGACCACAAACCTCCATAGCATCACGGAAGGCCACCATCTGGGCTGGTGGTCTTGGCGTGGCAGACATATGCTCAAAATCCCACATAACCTCATTAAAATCACCAACAACTAACCATGGCAAGTCACTTACATTTTTCAGATTCTGTAGTGTTGCCCACATGATCGGTCTATTCTCAACTCTCGGCTCTCCATACACACACGCCAATCTCCATTGCGCAGCGTCACTGTGGACTCGAACTAATGCATCAATATACCTTTCATTCTTGTCCAGCACTTGTACATCATACGATTCATGCCAAAACAGTGCCAGACCACCACTCAGCCCATTACTATCCACACAAGAAAAACCTTTCAACCCCAACCGGCTCGTAGTCTTCTCAAGTTTTCTTCTTTCTGCCTCGTCTCACATAAGAAGACCAGAGTGGGGGAATGCGACTGGCAAAGTGTCGCAAGTTCTCAAACTGTCCGGGTATTCCCCGCTCCCCGGCAGTTCCAACTTAAGATATTTATTGGGCCCGGCGGTCCTCCCGCACGGAGGCCGCCTCGTTTGACAAAATCCTGTCTACGAATCCAAGAATCTGTAGCTAAAGCCCAAACAAAGGCCACCTTAAGGTGCAATTGGTGTAGATTAAAAGTACAACTACAAAGAAAATACAAGTATTGGCTGATTTAAAATCAAACCACTTAAGTAAAATAAAATGGAAAATACAAATACAAAGTTCAAATAAATCTTGAACATTTTTTAAATGTGTGCCGGTGAAAAATATATATATTCAAGTGTAGCAAATAGATATAATCGACAAAAAAATGATAAAATAAAAGATTCACTAGCTATCATCTAGATAAAAATTAACCAAGTCGCATCTAACTCCTACATCGTTTGATTTTATGTGAAGATTCATGCAGATTATTTTATTTGATCAATTGATTGATAAGCAGCCTTGTATTTTTTTGAGTGATATACGTGTTAGCCGAGACTTTTCCAGTTCACGTCTAGCAAATAAAAAAGAAGTAAATTAGCAACAACAAAAATATGATTTGACGGATCAGAAGAAGATCCGTAATAATATTGTCTGTAGGCTCAATAGTTTCTACGTTTTACAATCAATAGTGTGTCCACTTAGATAAAGCATATAGGATTGCTTCTATCATCATTTTAGCTGGGGCCATATTTGAACTACGGAAGAGCGCGAGTCGACGAAGGTAGGACCTAACCCTAGCCGCCACCCATGTGATCCAATCCCTTTCGCCGCCGCCAGGGTTAGCCGCGCGGGCAAAGCCCATGTGGCCTCGCTGTGGTGGGTAGGATGTTGTTCATAGCTTGATATGGAGGAGCTGGCGGGCCGCTACGGGATGGCGATGGGGATTCGTGGTCGGGCTACGACTGTCGGCAGGTGATGCTCGTCGGCGACGTTGGTGATCCAGATCAGCAATCTTCAATGGTGGCACGTCCTGGCTAGGTCACCCGAGAAGAGGAAGTCGATGCATTGTCCTGAACAGCAATGAAGTCGACATCAGGCCCGAACCTGTTGTGCAATGATACATGTGATTTTTCCAAGGTTTTATTTAGGAGTCTTCGAGTTTGGTTTTAGGACAACAAGGCTGCCTTCTGGGAATGATGTCCTCCTCGCTCTTTCATTGTTCCGTTGATATGTCTATCCACGACGGAGGACATGTGGAGCCGTGCTCCGGCGGGTCCGGGATCCGGTTGATTCTGTGTTCCAGTGGATCCTTCTTGATTCAGCTGACGTTCGTGGTCTTCGGAGTTTTTGTATATCCCCTATCGGTGTTTCCGATTTGCATTGCAGTTCGCGGCCGTTGGTGTCTCCTAGTATGCATCGATGACTTTTTGTTCGTTGCTTTTACAAGCTATTGGGTTTTCAAAAAAATTGCCCCGCCGAGGCGGAGGCCAGAGGCAGCATCGAGTTATGCTCATACCTCTGCCGATGGATACATGAGGAAGAAGATTTCGGCACCTCAAAATTAAATGTAATTTTATCTTTCTGGGTGGGTGTGTTTGTAAATACATGTTTTTTTTAGGGAAGTTTGTAAAGACATGTGACATGACACTTAATATATGGTCTTGGGTCTTTTGAAAAAAAAAACAAATGTAGATAAAGCGAACCGGGCCACATAATGTAGAGAGAAACTTGGCAAACACCGCCGAAACAAACCACCGCCGGCAGCCGCCGGCCACCGTTTCGCCCGAGTCTAGTCCCGTCCGCGCGCGCATGCGCATCCAGTCAGCGCGCGGCCGCTTCCACCCTCGCGATTTTATCCACTCTCACCAGTCACCAACGGAGCTTCGCTCAGCGCAGCGCCATCCCCCCGCCTCCGGATTCTCTCGCCCCAGGCTGAACAACCCCACGTTCGCCACGTGCGCTCGCGCCACCGCCTCGCCGCCTCAGCCAATGATCTAGAGCCTGGCGGATCTGACGCGGCGCCTCCGCCCCGCCTCCGCGGTCCGGTCACCGTCTCGCTCGCCGAGGCGCGCGCCTCTCCGCCTGTTCGTGCCGCCCTCGCCGGCCTATGGGGACGCGTGCGGCGAGTCCGTCCATGGGGACGCTCGTCTGGCTGAGGCCGATCGCGGCCCCGGCCGTCCCCGCCGGTCCCTCCGCCGCGCACGGTACGCGACACTGCTCGACGCTTACCTCCGGAGAAAGCCCCGGGCGATGCTGCTGCTGATCCTATCTTATCTGGTGTTTGGTTTCTGTTTCGCTCCTCTGCAGTGGTGGCTGGCGGTGGTGTAAAAGGCCGGCCTCGGCGGGTGTCCGTGGCGTCCCGCTGCCCGAACCCGCGCGTGCTCCAGGCGGGGAGGTGCCGGTGGCTGGTTGTCAGGTCGGGTGTCACCGCCGCTGCAGCCGCCGCAGATGACCCCGAGGATTCGTCGGGGCTATCAGGTTTCAGGCCTCCTCCCCTCTCTAGAGCGAAATGCGTTGAACTTCTTAAGCCAGTGCTCGCGTAGCTGAGCTGTGCTAGCTAGAAAATCACATTGACATGTAGTTTTATGAAATATGGAAGTTATGGAGCGTATGTGAACCTGCAATGTTGCCGTTGCTAGTGCTATGTGAGTTAGGTGAGTTTTGATAAACCAATAATGCAGAAACTCAAGCTATTGTCCCAACCCTTCATTTCAGTATGGACCAGAGGATAGGATTTGATACTTACCTTTCTTCTGTTTATAACCATTATATGATGGATTGTAGGCTTATAATTGTTACTTCTACTGATGTGAAAGGTGTCATTAGAGTTTTTAGATTAATTCCAGAGGGAGAACAACAGTTGTTAAGGTATTTATAAACCCTGTAGCAGCTAATGCCAGTGGCATGTTTGATGAAATTTAAGTAGTAGGCCCTACTGACTAGTACGTATTAGGAAAATCATCTCCACATATTTTGCAAACAATCTGTGGGTGAAATCATTCAAATTATATTCTAGCTGGATATTTTTTGTGCTCACTTTTTTTTAGAAAACTTACTTATATTTATTTATTTAACCAGATCTGCAAGTGGCTTCGAGGATCAGAGGGGTCTTCTTCTACACGGTGACTGCTGTTGCGGCGATCTTTTTGTTTATAGCTATGGTTGTGGTTCATCCACTTGTGCTCTTATTTGACCGACACCGTAGGAGAGCTCAGCACTATATTGCAAAGATTTGGGCTACTTTGACAGTTTCTATGTTCTACAAGCTTGAAGTCGAGGGAATGGAGAATCTACCTCCCAATAGTAGCGCTGCTGTCTATGTTGCTAACCATCAGAGCTTCTTGGATATCTATACCCTTCTAACTCTAGGAAGGTGCTTCAAATTTATAAGCAAGACTAGTATCTTTATGCTTCCAATTATTGGGTGGGCAATGTATCTCTTGGGTGTCATTCCTTTACGACGTATGGACAGCAGGAGCCAGCTGGTATGGCCTTAGCCTTGTCCCTTCCTTTTCAGTCGGCTCAGAAATTTCGATAATCTTGTGATTGAATATAAGTTGTGGATTACCTGCAATTTGTGCCACCGAAGAAGTTTTTATTTGGCAATTCCTTTGCATATCCTTTTTGTTAGTGCAGCTCCAGCATCTTATGTGAAGCGTACATGCATACGCCCAAACCTGATATCCAATTTTGTTTAGTTTAGTTTTCAACATTAATGTCATTTTTTGTTAAATGCCTTCCTATTATAGAGTTTACCCACTTTGCACTCCATGTTGAAACATATCATCTATCCTCTAAATTCAGGACTGTCTTAAACGGTGTGTGGATTTGTTGAAAAGGGGGGCGTCTGTATTTTTCTTTCCAGAGGGGACTCGAAGTAAAGATGGAAAGCTAGGTATATTCAAGGTTAGGTTCCGTCGAATGTGATTTTACTCTTGTGTGTACTATGCTATTAGTGTTCAGTACTGACATTTTATAATTATCCCCAGCGAGGAGCATTTAGTGTCGCTGTGAAGACTGGCGTTCCTGTCATACCTATTACCCTTCTCGGGACAGGGAAACTGATGCCTCCTGGAATGGAAAGCAACCTTAATTCAGGTGCAGTAAAAGTCATTATTCACCGTCCAATTGAAGGGAATGATGCAGAGAAATTATGTTCCGACGCAAGGAATGTGATAGCAGACACTCTTCTTCTACATGGTTATGGAGTGCACTAATGGAAGTGGGTGATTTTTCCTATTCAATAGATCATGGAACCTAGTTTGCCGAAACGTGTCGACTCAAGGCAAAGATAGTTTACAGGTACATGTTACTGACTAGTTCGATATTTTGAGAATCAATAGGAAATGCTATTTGCTTCTTAAGAAGAGCAGCTTTTTTGAAATGAAAGAGTTTCCACGGGCGTCGTATATCCTTTGTTCAAATAAGGTTCATGTAGCATAATGGTATGACTGTGCGAAACGTATCTTCAGTTTAAACTTCAAGAAAAAGGACACCTTCAGTTTGAATATGTGCCCCACATTTAGAGGTTTGAGATTGTTATCTCCACCACATGGCGGTGTGAGACGAGTGTCCTCATAAGAGACTGAATATAACACAGATGTATTTGGTGGAGGAAATACTTGTAAGTACGTTTCTAAAAAAGGAAGGATTCCAAAAGATCTACCCTTGTTTGTGCAGCTGGTAGAGGTGCTGAGTGCAGAGGCATTCTTTTTGCTGCAGAATGAAGACAGGGGCTGGAGGAAGAATAAGAATGACTTGTGCTTGTTAGTTGCTGTTTGTGACTTGCAAAGTAGGCTCTGATGTAGTTTATCTTTCACAAATTGTAGTTTGCATTTTTTGCCTTGTTCTATAGTATTTAACATGAAAAGATGTGATGTGGCGAAGAACTCATGTGGACTTAGATGATCTTGCCATATTCTACACACTGGGAAGATAAGATTTTTTTTTGTGGGTGAGAAGATAATAAAGTTGGCACGTGATTTCCTTTTG